AAAAAAACGAACCTCCCAACTATGACGAACAAACGACCTTTGATAGAAGTAACGTTGGTATAAAATCTGAGCAGTGGCTGCGGCAACTTGCGGCAATCGTAATAATATCGCTCCAGACTGTATTATTTCACAACCCAAATACCGAAGATCCTAAAATAACCAGATGTGTAATAAATATTAACAACTCTCCGAATTTACTACTTTTGGATAAATTTCAAGACAAATTTAACTTTAAGAACTAACCTTCTCTGTTTCTATATCTAGGCCGTCAGTAAGCGATGGCGGCGACTCCAACTTTTTCACGGACTCTGGGTCAAGCGTTAATAGCCACTTATCAGCAGAAATGTTAATTGTCGAATACTGCCTAGAAAATATTCTTTGCTAATGCAAAGAAAAACGAAAATCAAAGAGACAGCAAGAACCAAACTGGTTGTCTGCGACTAGTTAAAAAAAACCTTATTGCTTCCAATCTATGTAAAACCAACCTTTTCAAGCCAAAACTACTTGCTTTCAATTCAACTTTCGGTTTCTTAACAGCTGGCTCCATTTCCTCAGCAACGATTTCGTCATTCTTTTCCGGCGAGGGAGTTCTTTTTCGTGGGACTACCGACGACAGCGACTTCGATTTTGTTAAAGTTAGGACTTTTGATGTCATTATCTTCCTAAAAACAAGAGGAAAAAAGAGAAGGCCTATAAAACAGAAAAAAACCTGTTTTTTTAACTGCCAAGTAAAACTGTACAAAACAGAAGTTAACATAACAGCAAACACAACATTACTGTCAAATACTTTCACAACCACTGCAATAAAAATAAGTTAAAACGAAAAAAAACGTCAAGATGGCCACCAAAAACAAAAAGAATGCCTTTATCATATTTTCATCTAACAGAACAGAAAGGCGACTAAACGCGTGACGCAACAGTGACCAAAATCAGATAAAGATAAGAAAACAGGTCTAAACAACAGGTTCCACAACGACGATCGATCCAGAAAAACCATCTCCAGAAAAAAATAATAAATTAATAAGCAAAAAAAGAAAAAAAACCAACAACACGGCAAATTTAAAAATTAACTGTAAAGATCCTTCGTAAAACATTGAACGCGAACAACTAAAACCAATTACGTGCGCAAGCAAAACAGAAAAAAAAAAAGACAGGTTTATATATGTCAACGCTAAACGTACGCGCAATGTTTGTTTTAAGAATCGTAGTTATTATGTTGCAGCTTTAAAATTTTTTTATTTTCCAAATTTTTAGTAACTAAAATTCAAATTTTTTAGACACCGATGAATTTTACAGACAGTTGTCACACGGAATTTTCCACCAATTCACTGAATTTGCATTGCTTTTGTTAAAAAATTCCTTTTTTTTTTCTCAAATTCTTGCCTCATACAGCAACTTTTTAAACTCTGCATTTTTTCTCTCCTTTTTACCTCTGCAACGCTTCCCAATGTGTTAAAAATGTTTTTTTTTTTTGCTAATTTTTTGTTTGATTTACTAGTATGTCGTTTGGATATCAGGAGCAGAAAGAAGGCAAAAATTAATCGCAGGGAAGAAGATGACGTATTTTTTTGAGTCCAAAAAAAGAAACGCAAAATTTCGCAGTCAGTTATCACAAAGAAGAAATACGAACTGTTTGGCGGTAAACAGATGACCTTCAAGTATGTTGCTTCCATATCGATCTTTATTGTACCCGTCTAAATAGATATCATACATTCAGTATTTGTTGGCGCTGCAAAACACTGTTTCTTAATGCTATTTACGGAAGGCTTTAGTAGCAACGAATACTTAGGTTTTTTTGTTGATGATAGATAACTACCCCAGTGTTCTCGTATTCTTTTGCACAGCTTCGTTCAATGTTAAACGAATTTGAACAGAAAAACCGCGTAGATACATGCATGTATATAAGTGTGTCACTGTACCAATTTTTTCTTCCGTTAGAATCAGATTTGTTACTGAAGCATGCAAGATTCTTTTTGCTGATCATTCATCTAAAAACTCTTACTTTGTTTACTTAACTGCAGAACGAAATCGTCAAGGAAGAACTGAAGGGAAGGGAATGTTAGGAACATATTAAAAAGCAGAAGAGGAGAATTAGAAAATAAACAAACAATAGTACACAGCACTCTGTCTTTCTGTGTTTTACTCTCTGGAATATTTTCATTTATGACCGAAATTTCACTGGTAATGATGGGTTATCTTTACTTCACCGATATGAATGTACAGTTACGGACAGTTCAGTTATATATCGGTCACTATCATATGAGCTTTGACAGTGGTAATACTTTATCAAAATATATGCAGCGTATCAGTGTCCTAATGCATCAGTATTTTTCGGTTTTACATTGTGGCCACTGTTTGTCTTGAGAGGAAATTATTGGTTTTAGTGGTACATGGTTTGGAATGATCAGTTCGGCATGATCAAATGTTGATTAAAATGAATAGTGGGTTTTATGGATGCATAAGAATTTGATATATGCTTCGGTTTGCTTTGGAGGCGGGTCGAACCAATGATGTTTATTTGCTCTATTCATTAATTAAGTTTTTTTTAATCTGTATTAGTAATTCTTTTGGTTTTGTAGCAGACCATTTACGTTATTAAATTTATCTTAAACAGCTACTCAGTAGGATGTTTATTCGTACATTTTTTGCTCTATTTATCTGTTTGTTTAACGTAACGAGAATAAAGTTACTATTGAATTTTATTCGATTAATTTTGAAAAGTGTTTTAGTAAAATTCCTAGTGGTTCTCACGCTGACCTGTCTTATTTATATATTAGGGAATCAGAAGGAGGCGATTAAAGCAGGTACATGTTGGATTAGGTGTCACTAATTTTTTTTTTTTGAGAAGGTATGTTACAGGCAAATAAAAATTAATTTCTTATTTAACAGCAATTAAACATTATAGAAATTTTATATTTGCGTTGATGGATTGGTAAAAACTGCGCATTTATTAGTAATAAGGCGTTAATGTACAAGTACTTATTGAAAAGAACACGAAAATAACTCTGCAATGAATGTCCCGATTGGTGCTGTATAAGATATTAATAGGATAGTAGTATGTTAAATGAGTAATTTCCTTCATTTAGATATTGCTTTTAATCTGTATGTATGAACTACTTCTGAATTTTTACGTGGTTGCGAAAAAGGTGGGAGATTTAGAAGAACTAAAGAGTTTACAAGTACTACCTTTTTTGAGGTTAATTTTGAGAAATGAATAGCTGTCGGAATGCATGGGAGCGCTATACTGACGAAAAACACATTTTAAATACTGGGACAACGTGTAAAATTCGTTGTTTTTCAGGCTGGTGATCCTTAACGATACTGCCTTGAAGAATTGGATCGTGAAATAGAGAGATTGCGATCCTCACAGTGTTGCCGCGAAGTCGGAGATTGATTCAGTGGTTTTTTGCTGCCGGAAAGTATGTGCTAGTATTTCATATAGCTTGAATTGAAAGTTCTTTATTATTTTTATTTATGTGGCTTTCCGCTCAGTTTTCTTTTTGAGAAGGAAGTACGGGCAAATTTGAATTGCATTTTTTAGTGACTGGGTTGCGAATAGAAATCAATTGTTATAAATTGACTCGTTTCTTACTGACATATAGTCTGTTCTGGGTTGAAAGTGTGGTTTTTTTTGTTTGTTTTGATTAAATTTGAAGCACTAGTGCCGGTCGTTGAACCTTCCTTGTTAACTTAGTTTTCTTTTTTGAGAACAACTTCCCAGTTTAGTTCTAAAATACTGCAAGTATTCAGGGATGATGTCTGATATGATGAGTATGACCCTTCATGGTGGAAATCGGGAATTTATTCTATTCAAGTTTTGGAAAACAGGCTCAACATTAGGTTTGTTTTGATTTTAGCCGTTGTTGTTCTAAGCGTATCTGGTTACACAAGGCAATCTAGCCTTCACAGTTTTTTTTTAAATTTTTGCTTTTTCAAAACTTAATTCTTGGTTTTGAATTTGTCTTACCAGAAAACTGTTTACCAGGTGTAAAAGCACAGATTTTAAAAGCTTTTACTTTAAAAAATTGGAATTTTGGCTTGTAAATTATCTTGTGCTTGTGAGAAATAAATATGTTTTCTAGGTATGGGTGCATCTTTAATAATCGTCATTTTGATGTGCATACTTTTCGAAGCTCTAAAAGGTTTTTTTTGCTGCAGTTTTTGATTCTTGTGTATTTTGTATGTAGGTATCTTCAGAGACTGCTTTTCCTACTTGTTCTTAAAAAGTTCATTATATTCTGCAGACCTAAATACTCCAGCACTTTTATTTTGAGTATTTTTTTAGCACTTCGTGTTTTTCTGGCTAAAATTCATTTCATCAAGAGACACGAAATAGCTCGTACAGTTTCTGCAAATATTGCAGAAGTCAGGGCAGATCGAATGGATTCTACCAGTAACGATGCCTTAAATTTTCCGCCTCTTTTAAGATTTGCAGGGTGAAAATTTTGTGATTTTTTTCTAATTCTAGTCAAACTACGGAAGATTATGTAGTCTTTCAACGGGACGTTGTATTTGAACTAGTTTAGTATGAGTGGAAGTGAAAGTTAAAACAGATCTCATGAAGGTTCTTTCTTAAAAGCCTTAAAAATTTATAAACTTCTTTCAGATCGCTTTGGTGTGCATGTAGTAATAATCTTTGTTGCAGGCATGGAAGAGTCTTTACACCTTACAGAATTCTACAAGCATTTTTATATGCAGTTCAAGTTACACTTGCTTATGTTCTAATGCTTGTCGTGATGACGTTCAATTTGTGGCTTTTAATAGCTGTAGTTGTCGGAGAAGCTATCGGCTATTTTTTGTTTACTGGAGAACCCATAGTTTCTGACTGTTCTAGTTCTTGCTAGTTGGTGGGCAATTCTGTGGTTCTACACCCCATTCTCTTACGAGACTTCATTATTACGTGTGTTTTTTTCTAGGCCAATAACCTTTTGTAATTTAAGTTTTTTAGCCTTGCAAGTGCGTTAAGGTTAAGGTTCTAGTTATTCAAATAAATCTCGTACTCTGGTAATCTCCTACTACCGCTCATATTTTGAATTTGCAATATGCTTTTAAATTGGAGCGATAACTACCTACCCTGATTTATGTACTTTTAATCGTGGCAGAGTTGTGTGCTTTAGTTCTACAAATTTTGGTTTCTGTTATTTTCTTAGTGCGCTAGCTTGACACTCCTACTTTACGTCTCTAGTCAGTGCGTTGAAGTGTTTAATGTTTTTCTGGTTAGGCTGGTCCTTCATTTGCATTTGTTTCTCAGTTGAGTATTTCCTTATTATTAGAGAAATTCTTTATAAAATCTTAGCATTTATTATTTGGGTCTATCAAGTTGCTGGTTTTTCTATTCTTTCCAAACATTACGTTTCAGAATGAACTTTGAAACATTAATTCTTTTATCACGGGTTTGTATGTAGTTTCGTCATCTTGGCTTTATCTTTAATATTTCTCGTTTAACTCTTTTTGTTGTACATTTGTTTTTATAAGTTCTCCTTGATTTTGATCTATTTTTTATTAATTTCTTGATGTTTATATTTTTATGGACAATTTTGTTATTTTTTTCTTTGAACGATTACCTCGTTTTTATGCTGTCTTAGTGTCAGCAATGGTTTGCTGCAGATAAAAAGATATTAGTTCCTCTTCAAATTTTGTACTTTTTTCTTAATTAAAAACGATGTTAGGGACAGGGCTCAAGTCGCATAACTGTAGACACTGCAAGATTGCAGTAAAGACGGTGACGAGCTAAGAGAAGTGGATAATTTGCTGTAAGTTATAACGGAGGTGAAAGATGAATGTGGGAAGAGTCATTTTTTGGCGTCGAAGGGAATGCCGAAAAGCAAAAATGAATTGCATTTATTGCAAAGGGTGATATAGGCCAGTGTAGGGTATTTGGCAATGAGTGCATTTCTAAAGTTGCAGTCACTTTTTAGAACTGTATTGGCCAATGAATTGAACTGAGGTATGAGATGTTACAGTAGGCTTTTTCTTGGGAATGGAATATTCAGATCTAGCGACAATTTAAGGTGCGTTTCTAATTCTTATTTCTGATCTTGCATTTGGTTTTTTTGGTGTTCGTTTTTAAGTCAGAAGCTTTTTGGTTTTTACACTTTTGCTATTAACGGAAGAGTTAGAATAGTATGCAATGTTACAATATAAACACTGTGGTTGAGAGTTGTGACTATTTATTGACGGACAAACCCAAAGAGCGACAGAAATTTATCAAGTACATTACGTAATAAATTAAAGGTTACCTGTGTTTATAACATTTATTACGTAGAGCAGAAGTTTTAAAAAAATGGACCTAGGTGGCATACGATATTTTCTTGTCGGTACTCTATATTAAAAGAATCTGTTAGGGCCTGAGTGTTGAGCGCACTGTTTAAAATATTTGAAAAATTCATGAAGATTTATACATTGCTTGGCCTTTGCGGATGCATTATTTGGACATCTGTTGTTTCTTCTGCAGAAACTTATTGCTATGCGTTTTGCACAAAAAAGCCGGAAAATCAAAAAATTTATCGTATCAATGGGCCGTTATCTCATCGTATCGTTCAAAACGGAACTGATGTGTATGCGGTTTTTTTGTAACGCCATTAGCGTCTGGATCAAACGATGTACTGGGTGACTTTACATCCTGACACAGCTGTAAAGTTATTTAAACCATATAATTAAATAGGAACTTAAATTGTGGCTCAGATATGTTGACGATGAAACGATCTAGATAATTTTTGTTTTTGAAGTTTGATGACTGAGAGGTTGTTGAACTTAAACACTGAAATATTGATTTACCGAAACTACATTGTCTGATGGATAAAATTTCTTATACTCTTCTCTAAACGTTGAATATGGGCAGCAATCTTTATTTTCGCAGCCTGCAAGAGTAAAATGGTATCATTAAGAATATTTGAAAGCAGCTTAGAAACTGCCAATATTTCTCACTTATTACTACTGGTAGTATACGCTGCGTGCGACTATTTTATTTTTTAGTTGTAGGAAAACTAAAGAGTTAAAAAGAACAGAGCAAACTTTTTTGTTGAGTTATACCTGTAACAAATTTTGTAACATCTTCAAATTTAGAACTGAAATCGCGGTGGAATTGAAACTGAAAACGACGTTTAGTTATAAAGGATCACAGTTGACGGTAGTCACGGTGAAGAAATTTATCTCTAGTCAAAAAGGTTTCTTTAATTATTTGAAATGTAAAGAAATAAACATTTCAAAATTAGACCAAAGATAAACTTTACCTTCACGCACGGTTCCGTAATGTTGTTTTTATGAAGTTCAACAACAACTGCCGAAGAGTATTCGGGATAGCCTCCAGCAGTAATAATTTTTTCTTTAGCTCCTAATGCAGCCAAAAATGCTCCAATTGTCGTATCATGCTACAACAGTAGAAAAAAAAATACTGGAAATTTTTTGTTGGTTACTAATTGATTCATTAAGATAGGCTGAACTGTTGCTAGAATGCTAGAAATAAAAAGCCAATCAAACGAAACTTTCCAACTATATGCTTACTGCAGAATAAACATAGTACTTCAGTCTCTTCATCCATCGGCAACTGTAAGTTTCGGCATTCGTGGGATCCAAACAAAAGAGCTAAAGTAGCGGATGGACAAGGGAATATAATACACCTATTTATCTACATATAATGAAAGTAATGGCTGCGAGGGTTTTAAAGTTTCTCCGCTTTATTAATTGGTGGGCGAAATAACCTTTAAATCCATATGATTTATCAGATCCCAAATGAAAACTCCGCTTCGAACTTTACCAATTTCAATTCGAAAATCAGTTCCGTTATACGGTTTAATACCTAGATATTAATACAATAACTTTCAGGCACTGGATTACTGGTAAATCATAAATAAAGTTAATTTTCAGAAAAAGAAAGAAGTACCGATTCCGTTTTGCATGTCTTCTACCTTGTTGTTGAGAGTAACAATATCCTTGTAAGTTTGTTTACTAATTGGTGGAGTTAAATTGTAAATGTACTAAAGTGAACAAATCAAAAACTTTTCAAAACCAACAAATTGTAAGGTACAAAGACAGAATTACTGAAGTATTTTTCTATGAATATATATATTTTTTAGGCAGCTAATAAATGTCTGAAGCTGAATGATTGTTATAATTAATGCGTACTTCAATTTTAAAAGCATCCTTAATTTTCCACAAATCATTAGACAGATCAATCGGTTCTTGACAAGTAATAGAGATATTCGTCAGGAGTTCCTGCAAGTGTTTTTTTTCTTTTTTTTTGGTTTCGACAAACTGTTCAGTCGAAGACGACATTCCTCGCTCAACTGTTTGTTTCTTGATTTTCATTATCGCTATTTATGGTCAGCAGTTGACAGATATTAAAACAAAGACAGAAAAAATGACTTACACTGTTTTGTCGTACAAGAGTTTGCCACTCAATAGTTTTTTTTACTCGAGACCATAACCACGATTGTCGTGGGCAAACGGCATCTGGATTTACAGTCTTAATACCAAATATAAGATAAAGTTAAAGTTAAAGAATATAGTGTTTTTGATATCAACAGTACAGTTTCATAAACTGTTATATTCATATGGGAAATTGGTTGCTGGTAAAAGGAAATAAAGCTAGACAATTTTGATGTTATAATTCTCTTACGTGGTCATCTTTGTTCCGAACTGTATGTATAGGTACTGGCACGTATTCAGAAGGCCATCTGACTCCAGTAGGATAATCGTTTTCTGCTTCAGCATTACCGCGGTTGTAGTACATTCCAATCATATTTGAGATTGCACTAATCATTGTTCGATTTAAATCGGTTGATCTTACATAAATCTAAAAACTAATGCCGATAAAACAATTATTAAAAAATTTAGTTTCTTTTACCTTTATTTTTTAAATTATTTGTAAATAAGTTTTCTTAATGCTAGTCTTAGAAGGAAGAGAAACGTTAGCCATTATATCATCTCGCCACTTAATTATTAGACAACTACTATATGACTTCTTGTATTGTTATTTTTTATTATAATTGGAACGAGTCAATCGGTATTAATTAAGAGGAACCACTAGTTTGTACGGTCAAATTTTTGACAGTTTTCAAGTTTTGACAGCAACCTCTTCAAATAGATGATGAGGATTTAGCAGTGTTACTGGCGATAATGAATAACTTAAAAATATTTCAGTTTGTCAAAGCATCTACTTTCAAATGAGCTATTAGTTCAGATGATGCTACAGTTAGTTATTGTGAAACGCTGTTGGCAGACCTCTCGAGGATCGTACTTCTTTGATAAAAACTTTTCAGTAAGAGCATACGTTTCGTAGATTAGTTCTCCCAGGCGAACATGTTGATTCATTCCAGACTGAAAAATTTTTTTTCTTTTACCTTTTTGCTGCTTTCTGGTTGAATTAAACCAAAGCAGTTCAAAAAAGTATTGAGGGCTTTTGTAAAAAAATGTGCTATTTCAATATCAGTTTCTAAAATTAGTCTACAACTTCTGGTCTTGTCAAATATCATTATTTCATCTTTGATTAGCTAATAATTTTTGGAGCTGACTTTATCTGCCGTTAAAAAATACAGTCTTTCACAGTAATAATGAATTGTTTCAAAGCAATAAAAAAAGTTTTTTGGAAAGAGCATACCGGAGTTAATTCCCCATAACCACCAAATCTTTCCCAGAAATCTTCTTTATTTGGGTCTCCCTTACATGTCCATGTTGGGGTCCTATCGCCATGTCTCCAAACCTGAAATAACCTCATTGTATCCAGTAACTTCAGCTTTATGCAAGAACGAATGTCCTAAGGATTGATGAAAAAGTTACCGTTTGAAGTAATACGATATCGGTTCCAACAACAAATACCGAAAGTGCAAATAATACTGTAAAAGACAGTGACCACATATCGTACGCTGAAAAAAATGGTACTGTCACGGTTATAATTTAGCCCAGAACCTTAGAACCACTAACCGCTACGAATCAAGCAAAAAAATTCTTTATCAAGAAAGGAGAAAAAACATCTTTTTGGAACAAGGTTTAACATTGAAAATACTTTACAGGAGCAGAAAAAGCGGAGGTTTGCGTTAGATAACATTCCCTTGATCAATCTCTAGCTAGAAAGGCAGTTAATGAACTGTCCATTTTAATTTCATGGCAACAGTATAATCTCATTTTTTGCATAACTCAAATAAACGGTATATAGGTTGGAGAAATGCTTATATAATACAATTAATAACGATGCAAACGAAAAAGCAACAGAAAAAATTAAAACCCGAAAAGAAAACTATCTTCAGGAGAAGAATATTTACAACATTCAAAACAAAAAAATATATTATTTGAAAAATATTTTTCTAAAAAAAATTGACTTTTGCCACTGTTTTACACATTTCTGTATTGTTTTACGCGAATATGTTATCTATTTCAGATAACAGTCGTTAAATTCATTAAAACTGCAGATGCACAAACAAAGTTTCCGTAAGACATCTTTCGTGCTCCTTCCCATCATGTTAACACACTCGTTTAGTTTTGCGCTACTTTGGTAGTGTTAGCAATAGAGCAGGGGTCCTGAACATTCTTTATAGTTTTGTACAAAAATCTGACTGTTCTTTATGATTACTTTTCATACCTTTTCTGCTTTGTTTATTACTTGCAATTTTAAGAGTTCTTTCTATGCTAAGAAAATAAAAGCTAAAAAAGTGTAGTTAATACCTACACAACATATGAGCTAATTTTACTGTCGAAACTTACCAATACAGC